AAAAAAAACAGAAATAAATCAAATGACTGCTATCACAAATCAAATAACAATCTTCAGGGATGTCCTACCTGGAAAACACTTTTTCAGGAAACCCCTGGATTACTGTCACTCTTAGTAGTACTACTATCTTCAAAACAATGTTCCTTTCATTTAGAGTGCATTTATACATTGAAAACAATTCATTTCTGAGTTTTTGAAGTTATCTGGCTCTACTGTCTATAAGGTGGGAAAATATCCATGTACGTAAAGCTTAAAGAGCCAAGTAACCTGAGACATTTTAAATTATTTGAAAATAAAATATCATTTTCAGTTAGACATTCTTTTTTAATTTAATATGTTTTAAATTTGATTCAAAAAGTATTGGGGCAGCCGGTTAGCTCAGTTGGTTAGAGCACAGTGCTCATAAAACCAAGTTTGCGGGTTCGATACCCACATGGGCCACTGAGATGAGCCCTCCACAACTAGATTGAAACAACTACGCACTTGACTTGCAGTTGATGGGTCCTGTAAAAACAGTGTTCCCCAATTTAAAAAAAAGTATTTCAGCTGAACTTTAAACATATTATCTTTATATATATAAATGTTAAGTGCACAATTCTTTATTGTTGACTATAGTGACAATTGTTGCTAGACATTCTTAAAAGACCTTCTCTTTACTAATCAATCCGTCTCTAGTGGTGTAACACACTAGTGTCAGTAAGCTTCAAACAACATAACGGCCATTTGTTATTATCTCCTCAAGTTAATGGGCTTTAAAAACATCTACAGAGCTTGATCATTTCAACTGCTGAAAAGCAATGAAAAACTCTATGCCAAGATGGAATCAAAGTATTTAATTTCTAGGTACACTTTTTTTCTTAAAATAATACTTAAAGTCCTGAGAAATGCCAGGATGATGTAATGGAAAAAAGCTTTTAGAATGAGAGATCTTAGCTATAACAGTAATTGCTAAAATTTATTTAGCCTTCACTTCATATAAGCCAAGCACTACACTAAAACCTTCACATGAATTATTTCGTTTAATCCAGGCACCTATCTAAATTGATACTATTATCATTATCCCCACTGTACAGTTTAGACACTGAGCTTTGAAAGATAACAAGTCCAAAGTCATAAGTAAATGGCAAAGCAGGGACTCAAACCCAAGTGTTCCTGCCACCTGGAAGTTGCACCTGGATATAGTTAATTGATTCATGTGGCTTTGCCACTTTGTGCAAGTCATATATCCACTCTGCGCCTCAGTTTTCTCGTCTACAAAAATAAAGCAACGAATGCTAAAGTTCCTTACAGCTTGCCTAGCTTCAATATTATCAACCTTACAATCTCCCTGGACGTCAATATGCCAGTTTCATTCCTTTTAACTGAATTCAACTGAAAAAACATTTACGACGCACTTTAGTGTCCGACCTTGTGGTGGACAGCGGCCCAAGCCCAGGTCCTCCACTCTCTCTGCTCCCTCCCCTGGGTGCCAAGAGACCCCTTTTTCCCTTCCCTCTGCAAATTCCCAGGACCGGCTGGGGTCCTTCCCCCTCCGGAGCCCTTACGGACACACTCCCGCCTCTGGGCCAGGCCCAGGTCTGGTTCCTAAATTCACTCACCCTTCATATGGTCTCTGCTGCCTGGCGCCGCGGGACTCTGCGTCCCCACTGCCCGGCCCCCCGCTGGGGTCGTATGGAGTGCCCCAGTCTGCGGTCGTTCGGTGAGTCTGCCTTTCGCCATGGCTGCTGCAGGGAAGGGAGAAGGAGAGGGGTGATGCTGCGCCACCTTAACCATTCCGCCTCTGCCTCCTTATAACACACACGGGGCCACAGCTCCAGCCACTTCCGGGGCGACCACCTCACCTGAGACGACTTCAGCCCGCGATAACAGCGACGCTCGGCTGGGACAAGCTATGCCCACTCGCACTAGGCACCGCCCCAAGCCGCGCGCGCTCGCGCTTGCGGAGTAAGCGTCAGACAAGTCAGGGTCTGGCCCTCCCCATTCAGTGCCCTGCCCCTCCTCGCGACGGAGAGGGGCATGCGCAGTCGCGGCACTGGAGTCACCTGGTGTGACTCGCGGACCCAGACGTCTAAAGCACAGCTTTAATTATCCGGAAGTGAAGTTCCAGCGACTTCAAACCCTTTGTCCCGGTCGCCGGAAGCGCCCGCGAGTGATTAGTTGGCATTTCTCGGCGGGTGCTGATTCAGCCCACTCCTTTCTCCGCCGTTTCCACAAGCTACTGTCTTGATATTGGAGGGGCTAGAGAATACTTGGTCTGAAGATGTTATAAAACATAAAACCTGAGCCGATTCTCTACCGAGTTTCCGGAAACAAAGGCTCAGGGAGGAGCTATAGCCGATGAAGGTCATAGGGTGGCAGAAACGGGTTTAGAATCCGGTTTTCTTGTTCCCAAGAAAAAGCTTTCCTTTGTCATCACTCTGCCGCCCCTCACGTGTANAGCGTGAGCGGCCAGCAGCCACAATGAACGGCCGTCCAGAAGCCGGCGACTGATCTGCCTCGCCCGGGAAGAGCGCAATGATGGTGTCAACTTGGGCCAGTGAAGCAACGTCCTCCACAACTAGACTGAAGAACAAAACAACAGCAACTTATCTGTTCCCCTTCCCCCAATTCCCCAGCACTGTTCCCATCCCTCCAATTCCCCAATAAAAATCTTTAAAAAAAAAAATGGCTCATCATTACTAACCAAATTCATTTCAAATTGCTCACAAGGGTAATGATTTACATGTTGAAAAATATAATCCTAGGAGTTCTCTTAAATCAAAATGGGGAACTTCTATGACTTGCTAGGAAACAGATCAGCCAGGGCAAACAATACAAAAGAAAATACCCTGGTCCAGGCATCCCTGCACACAGATTAGGGGACAAGCCTTTTAAGTGGTTCTACCTGTTGTCTTGTCACCCTTCCTTGTCATGCAAGAATTAGACTTTCAGTGTTGTGTTACTGCCTTGCTCACATCTTCAAAGTGGTCCTCAGTCTATAAGGCTCAGTCAGATGTTAGACTAGAGATCAGAGTCATGGCAAAGAACCCACTAAATGTACCAAACACTGCATGCAGCATGGAAAATACTTCAAACATACACAGAATTATTTGTCAAAGTTGTGTAAATATATCAGTTAACAAAAATATAAATTCATTTAAAGTGTCATTACTATATATTTCTCAATCAAGAGTTACTTAAATGTTTATCATTCTCCAAAACTTTTCCTTTTTGAATGCCAAGTTAACACCTGCAATTATCATAAATTGTTTTTCATAAACTGGAAAATCGGTGGCTAAATAGTTACTAATGACATCACATCACCAGCTGATTAATACTAGCAAGTAAATCAAACCCTCTTATGTAAAAGATCCACAAAATCTTTTGTCCAAAGAGAGAATTCCTAACACTAGTTAAGAGAGAGACAGAGAGAGAGAGGGAAAGGAAGAGAAGAAAAAGAAAAAACTGGGAATTACTAATAAAAAGGAAGGGTCAAAAAACTTCCTTTGCTTAGCACTTGAAAGCCCTCTATACCTCTAGACCAGGGGTCAGGAAACTTTTGAGATGGAAGAGCCGCCAGGGGTCGGCAAACTGCAGCTTGCAAGCCACCTGCGGCTCTTTGGGTACATGTGGCTCTGAAGTAAAATTGAACATGAAAATAAAACTATCATAGTTACATTTATAACATTACTTTAAATTTTCCTTATTTGTAAAAATATATTTATGGCCCTCAAATAATTTTTTAAAAATTGTTGTGAGGGACAGGATTGGCTCTTCCAGGGGTCAGTAAACTTTTGAGATGGAACGTACCCAAAGAGCCACATGTGGCTCGTGAGCCGCAGTTTGCCGACCCCTGCTCTAGACCACTTTGACCACGGCCAACTTTATCTCCTACCACCTACCACCCAACAAAAATCCTTCACTCCAGACCAAGTTACGCTTTTTATTGACACACATAAAAGATTCACACTAACCTGCAAGGCTAATGGTTACCCTCCCCGGAATCCTGTTCCTTTCTCTAATCCAAAACCTACTTATCCAAACCCTGCTTGTCCATAAAGGAATGCCTTCACATCTCAGTCCACAGAAGTCATTTGGCAGTATCATAAAAATAATTGGTGAATGTGTTGTTCAAATGATAAAATAAGATAAACAATTTAAAAGCACTTTGGGGGTCGGCCGAGTGGCGCGATGGTTAAGAACTGGCTTGGGACACCAGAGGGCCCTGGTTCGGATCCCACATATGAGGGCCAGTGACACTGCCCTCCACAGCTAAGATGCTGAACAGCAGCTCAACCTGGAGCTGGGCTGCCGTGAGTCACTGGCGATGGCGTAGGCTGCAGCCCCTGTGGCAGTGGGTTGCC